TACCCCCCACATGGCTGCCCCGCCCACCCCAGCTCCCGCCCTTTAAGAAAAAAACCCAAGAAAGACCCCCAGACTCACCAGTTCCTGCTGGTGGGGAGGGGAGGGGGCGATCTCCGCTGCCCCCCCACTGCCCCATGCTGCGTGGGGTGCTCTGCACAAGCCCCCCGAAGCCCCGAGGCCACTGCAGGAGTGGTGAGTCCCAGGGTTTTTCTTGAGTTTTTTTTTCTTAAAGTGCCTGGGTGGGGGTAGGCAGGGCAACTTTCATGGGGTGGGGGCTCAGGTGGCTCGTGCAGAGGCCCCTCCATGCAGCATAGGGCAGTGGGGATTGCCCCTCTGCCCAGCAGCACCCAATAAGTCAGGCTTTTTTTAAAGCGCTGGGAGCTGGGGCAGGCAGGGCAGCCATGTGGAGGGGGACTGGGGGAGCAGACAGGGGATAGGGGCTGGCAGGGGTCCTCCATGGTCCCCTCCCTCCTCCTCCAGCCCTCCCTCCCCCCTCCCCTACTTACCAGCATGGAGTCTGGCTCCAGTGGGCAGGGACTGTCTGAATCTTCAAAGCTCTCTGAATCTTTTCCGAAGATTCGGAGCACTTTGAATGGATTTAGACCTTTTTGCTGGTCCCGATTTGATTCAGATTTGGAGATTCGGCCACCGAATCAGGCCGAATCTCCTCCAAATCGATTCAGCACCTGAAGCCCTGCCCCCACCGTCTTCATTTTTCCAAACTAAATAAGCCCAGTTACATCAGTCTTTCCTCATAAGTCACGTGGCCCAGCCCACTAACCATTTTCACTGCCCTCCACTGGACTTTCTCCAATTTGCCCATTTACTTTTTGTAGTGGGGGGCCCAAGACTGGACACATACTCCAGATGTGGCATCACCAGTGCTGAATAGAAGGGAATAATCACTTCCCTTAATCTGCTGGCAACGCTCCTACTAATACAGCCCAATATGCCATTAGCTTTTTTTGCAACAAGGGCACACTGTTGGCTCATACTCATCTTATTGTCCACTGTAACCCCCAGGTCCTTTTCTTCACAGCTGCTTAGGCAGTCAGTCCCCAGCCTGTACCAGTACTTGGGATTGTTCTGTCCTAAGTGCAGGACTTTGCACTTCTCCTTCTTGAACCTCATGAGATTTCTTATGGTCCAATCCTCCAATTTGTCATGGTCTCTGAATCCTAGCCCTGCCCCCCCAGCTTGGTGTCGTCTGCAAACCTGCTGAGGCGGCACTCCATCCCATCTCCCAGGTCACTTAAGACATTGAAAAAACCGGCCCCAAGACTGACTCTGGAGCACTCCACTTGACACTGGCTGCCAACTAGATAACAAGGCATTGCTTAGTATCCTAAGCCAGTTTTCTATCCACCTTATAGTCCATTTATCCAACTTGTACTTCCTTAGCTTGCTTGCAAGAATGTTGTGAGAGACCATATCAAAAGCCTTGCTGAAGTCAAAGTATATCACGTCCACTGCTCTCCCCACATCCACAGAGCCAGTCATCTCATCATAGAAGACAATCAGGTTAGTCATTTATCACTTACATCCTTGAACCACACACCTGGTAAGCTTCTACCATGGGAGGAACACGGCCATGATCAATCACTTGAGAAGGAAGAAAATGGAACTGAATGTCTGGGTGAGAAACACCTGGTCGACTTCTGATAAAACCACCAGATTCCAAGTGGGCAGTAGCTCCATCACCTAGAGAGAAAACAAAAGGAAGAACATTCCAAAATATCCTAAGAAAAACAAAAGCATTTCTATTAAATTCTTGTTTCTTTAGCATTTCTCCATGAACAATTCACCTCTCCATTTGTCCAATACATATGATTATGTCAGATACAGAATGAAACCGCAAAGAATGTAAATCCATGTGCAACTGACTGCAAATGCATGCAGTGTACATCATTATCTTCTTGTTCATCAGAAAAACAGACAAATCCCAGTTAGTTTTGGCTAAAATGGGATGTTACAATATCTTTGTTGTAAAAGGCATTGTTGCACTGCCTATGAAGTAGCTCAAATGGCCAGACTGTGACTCCTGAGTCCCTGGCTGGTTTAAGGAGGGAGTAATTTCTGCAGATTAATACCTAATACAATACATATGACTTCTTGCTGTACCAGTGTTTTTACAGTAGAAGACGCATGGAATGCAAAGGGGAAACCCTTTTCCATCCAAAGTGTTGACCCCTGGAAGAGACTTAGGGGTCTGAAGGTTACTTCTGACAGCCCCTGTTCTCAGCAAAATGTGTCATCAATTAAGTGAATGCAAAAGCAAACTTTATTAAAATGTTCAAATTATGAATATTGGTAGCAAATAAATAATAGCACAACTACAGCTATACATATCTACATGCACTTTTATAAGGCAAACAAAAATAAGTAGTCTTACTTCTTAACATCTCTAGATCTTAAACTGCTAAAAATTTCTAACATGTGGCCAGCCTGTTTGGGAGATCTTACCCAAATTCAGAAGCTAATTCTAGGGGATGCTGGAACTTCATTATATCTGGAGATATGAACCTCAGCAACACATCTGAGGAACACATCTCAGAACACTGAGACCCCTTTTAACTCCTTCCTTAAACAAAGGCCTACAATATTACTTAATCAGACCAGGACAAATGCAATCAGAAAAGCAATATTCTTGTGCCATACTGTGGTCCAACTGGGACATTCTGATCTTCACTAATCAAATTCTGAGCCAGCCTTTCTTAGAACTGACTCTTGCCTGTGGCTCAGTTCCTTTTATACTTAGCCTCACTTGTATTAAGTCAGGCCAAGTTAATTAACCAGAGGCCTACAAAAGCAACTATAATGCAAGCTAAAAGGATTCAACACGAAAAAGAAAGTACAAAAGAAAGTAAAAGATCAACAGAACTGGGTTGTCCTCCCACATTGCTTTATTGCACTCTCCTTGGGTTTCTATGCTGCCACAATGCAGCCCTTGCCAAATACTGACTTGCAGTGATAAATAAACCATTCATATGAAATAAGATTACTGGGCCAGCATGCTAAGACAGTGACAATGCACAGGATGTAAATTCACAGATATTTTACTTACTAAGAAAAATCTTGGCAATTCATCTTAGTGTAACTTGGGACCAAACCCTGTTAAGAAAGCGTGTGCATTATATAACAAAGGCCATTCAGAACTTCCAAGTACATTTTAGGAGTATCTGGACCGTGGAGTGAGGTAACTTTATAGAGTATGAATTTAATCAGGTATATTTGCTCGCTAGACAACATCTTCTCTGTCAGCTAACTTCATTTATGGTAATAGCTTTTCTCAGAGGCTTACAGAGCATACATTCACACAAAGGCATATGTTCAAAGAAGTCCCCCCTGAATGCAACAGTAGTTTTATAAAACAAAACTACAAAATTACTATAAAATTCAATCTAATTTGTTACTATAAATATTTTATCTGTTAAAAAATTCTGATTTGGAAGAAATAAATCAGGTTAAAGCTAAAGAAACTACATAATCTGTCCCATATAAAACCCAATTTTAAAATTCTTAAATTTCTGCAGAGTATTTAATAATAAAGCTTCATGAGAAAGGCTCTACCATTCTGGCATGTGCAGTTTAGATACAAGCCAATTCTGGTAATCCTATAGAACTGAATTGTGCTGGTTTTACATACCTGTAAACTTCCAGAGCCATTCTATACCAATCTTTGCCATTTTAATAGGCTTTTGGGCTTTATAGAGAGTAATTGGTTTGATGCACTTCTGCTGAATGTACACTTCCAAATGATCTTGAAGGTTCTGGCCTACCCCTGATGAAACATAAAAACATCCAAGAAACTGCATACAAGCAAACAGTAAAACTTACATAGAGCAGATACATTTTCTATTACAGACTAGTCTGAAAAGAAATGGAAATAACCCCTAAAACAGGCAATGATGTAACACACAAGACCCATGGGGCACATCCATCCCTACTGGATGTATTTATCCAACCCATGTTTGATTGCTGAAGGATACAAGAAAATCCCCATGTTTAGCTTCAAGATGTTTCGAATCTTGGACCTAATAGGGATAATTTGAACACCAGTTTTCTAATAATACAAGTCTACAATTCTGCATTTATTTTGCACAGTTTGTACAACTGTGAGCAAAAATAGGGTAACAAATGCAAATAGTCAGCTAAACAGTTGCAGAAATATCATCTGCCACGTGCCACAGTAGCAACTTTTTCAACCAAAGGTGCTAAGGTCTACATTATACTTTCCATCTTTGTATAAAATGTTCTTTAGCTTCTGTAGCCAATCAGTTGTGGATCAAAGTGAATACATAGTTCTAAATTAAAATGTCTTTTACAACAAAGAGGTTTTATTATTTATCTATTACTATAGTTGTGATAAACATGGGTATCATACCTCGTTATATGGAAAGGCACATTAAAATCAGTGGGAGTCTTTTAACTGATTTTAACGGTAGCTGTTCTCAGTCCACAGACACTAGTTCTAACTCCAATTAAATTAGTGGGAGTCAGTGCAATGACCGTAGTGGGCTTTCAACCAAGCTCTTAGGGAGATGAAAGATAAAAACAATATATTTACCGGGAAGGTGACACACAACAGGGATCCCTATTTTTTTGAGATCAGCTGCATTTCCAACTCCAGATAACATAAGCAGCTGTGGAGAATTTATGGCACCTCCACTTAGAATCACTTCTTTATTGGCAAGAACCTGAAAATTAAAAATAAATTTAAATTGTTTAAATTAAGTTTTAAAAAACCCTGGTATTTCCATGAGTTGTTTTTCAAAGGCATGTTTTATTGGGATTGTATCTGTTCCTGTTTTTATTATTCCATATGTGTTGCCTATTTTATCATAAAAACATAGAAAAACAGGACTGGAAGGGACCTCAAGACATCATCTAATCTAGGGGTGGTCAAAAATCCTGGGCAGGCCCCCCCCTTGCCCGAGAGCAGCTTTCCCCGACGGCAGGCCCACTGTGCATGCGCGCAGTTTAAAAGGGCCTGCCAAACAGCAAAAAAAGCCCCAGTTAGGCTCCAGAGTAGCGAGAGACGTGCAGGTGAAAGCTGGCTGCGCCCCCGCTCCCCCAAAGCCCACCAGAGACCCCCAGCAGCCACGGAGCCCCGCGCTGACCCCCAACACAGCCGGAGGCAAGCAGGGCTGTGGTGGGAAGGAGGCGGCTGCGTGGAGCAGGGGGATCAAGCCCCGCCCAGGCCCCTACTTGGCCCAGCCCCCCAGGGAGCCACACGAACAGGCTGCGCAAACAGGCGCGCTTGTCTGCTGGCGTGTGAGTTAGTGTGGATTTCAAGCAGGAGGGGGCGCAGGAGGGCCCGAGACCCTGCCTGCGAACCCCCCAGGGTAGACAGTCCCAGCCACAGCCAGCCTACCAGAGACATGACATTGATGGGCACGTGCCGCACCCCTCGGGTCCCCTCGGGCTCTACGGCCCCCCCTCGGGCACCTCAGGCACCTCAGTGACCGCCACCCAGATCGAGCCCATGGTCCTGGGCTCCACGCAGATGGAGCCTCTGGCTCTCGGCTGCGCGGACTGCCTGTCCCTTTTTCAGGCTCTGGGGCCCAGGAGCATGGCCACTTCCCCATGTGGGGTCTGCTCCCTTTTGGGGTCTCTGGCCCACCAGCTGGAGGAGCTCCAGGCCTCAGTCCAGAGACTGCGTGCCATCAGGGACTGTGAGCAGGAGATTGACTCCTACTGCCAGGCCCTTCTCCCCCAGGAGCCAGAGGGTAGACCACTGTCTCCCTCCAGGACAAAGGAGGACTCCCGGACCTCCCACTCTGTCCAGTCT